CCTCACCACAGCTGCTTCAAGCTCTGCTTGAATACCGCGACTCATGCACAGACTGGGGAAAAAGCTGCAAACAGTGCCGAGTGCCTGTGTGCACGGCCTATACGGGGGGGCAGATGAAGTGATCCACCTGGGGCCGGCCTTGTGGCGCCGTGGGGAGGGCCACGTCCCATTCAGAGTGCCAGTTTATGTCCCAGTTTTTCTGTTTCCAGCCCATCGTCCCACTGACACTCCCGGGAAGGCAGCAGATGATGGCGCAAGTACTTGGGCCCCTGCCGCCCACGGAGGAGACCAGAATGGAGCTCCCAGCTCAAACTGGCTTCAGCCTGGCCCAGCCCTGGCTATTGCGGCCAGGTGGGGGGTGTGTGTGTGTGAACCATTATAGGGGAAATACCTCTCTCTCTCTCCCGCTCTCTGTCGGATGCTCTGCTTGTCAAGTACACACAGAAATACATCTTTTTTTAAAAAGTGCAAAGTGATCGGGAGACCACCGGGAGGCCGCGCACGCCAGCATCCTGTTTTGGTGACCGCCCTGCGTTCCTTTGTGTGGCTGTCCCCAGCCCGTTCCCATCTCCTTACTCAGAGACCTGAAGGCGGCCCCCATTCTCCACAATCCTAGACAAGTCACTGAGTATTTTTGGGAAGTGAAAACTTTTTTCCCCCAAAGAAACCTTTTACTTAAGGAGTGAAGAGGTCATAAGTGCAACTTTAGCAATATAGCGATTCTTCCCAACATACCCGCCCTCCCACCCCCACTTCCACTCCTCCTCCTTCTCCCTCTCCCATTCCCAGTCCTATTCTCCATTAAGATTCATTTACAATAAACTTCATACACAGAACACCAACTCTATACTAAGTAAAGACTTCAACAATTTGCACACACACACACACACACACACAAAACTGTTTTGAGAACGAGTTTTACAGCTAATTCTCGTAATACAACTCATTGAGGACAGAGGTCCTGCATAGGAATTAGTGCCCAGTGACTCCTGTTGTTAACAATTAACACTTTGATGAATGACGTCAGTGATCACCCGAGGCTCTTGAAGTGAAACAGAAAGTGAGAAAAACAAGAGAAAGCAGCTGTGGCATGCTGGGTAAAGCCGCTGCCTGCAGTGCTGGCATCCCGTACGGGCGCTGGTTTGAGTCCCGGCTGCTCCACTTCCCATCCAGCTCTCTGCTGTGGCCTGGGAAAGCAGTAGAAGATGGCCCAAGTCCTTGGGCCCCTGCACCTGTGTGGGAGACCCAGAGGAAGCCCCTGGCTCCTAGCTTCGGATTGGCACAGCTCTGGCTGTTGTGGCCAGCTGGGGAGTGAACCAGCAGATGGAAGACCTCTCTCTCTCTCTTTCTCTCTCTCTCTCTGCCTCTGCCTCTCTGTAACTCTGTCAAGCGAATAAATAAATCCTAAAAAAAAAAAAAAAAAAAAAAAAAAGGCAAGCAGCTGGGAGCAGAAGCCATTACTATCACAGTCATCAAGTTACACAAACTGTATCAGAGTGTGAACCAAGCTGAAAATACATAGATATCAAATATACATGTATATGCGTACATGCATGTCACATATTTTAAAGAGGAGATTGCAGGAAGCGTTGCAACAATAGCATTAAATATGTTTACTCTGGTGCAAACAATTTTGAAATCCACTCTTGGATCTTTCCTAGTACACCCTTTCACAAACTTCTTCAAGGCCTCTTGTATAGAAAGCAATTTACGCTCTGTTACAAGTACTTCTTGGCGCAGCAGGTTAACACCCTGACCTGAAGTGCCAGCATCCCATATGGGTGCCAGTTCGAGACCTGGCTGCTCCTCTTCCAATCCAGCCCTCTATTATAGCCTGGGAAAGCAGTGGAAGATGGCCCAAGTCCTTGGGTCCCTGCACCCGTGTGGGAGACCCAGAAGAAGCTCCTGGCTCCTGGCTTCGGATCGGCGCAGCTCTGGCCGTTGCAGCCAATTGGGGAGTGAACCATCAGATGGAAGACCCCTCTCTCTGCCTCTCCTCTCTCTCTCTGTAACTCTTTCAAGTAAATAAATAAAAGTACTTCTTTTTGGGGCTGGTGCTGTGGTGTAGTGGGTAAAGTCGTGGCAATGCTGGCATCTCATATAAGTGCTTTTTCAAGTCCCAGCTGCTCCACTTCTGATCCAGCTCCCTGCTAATGCACCTGGGAAAGAGCGGAGGATGGCTCAAGTGCTTGCTTGGGCTCCTGCACTCACATGGGAGACCCGGATGAAGCTCCTGGCTCCTGACCTTGGCTTGGGCCAGTCCTGGCTGTTGCGGCCATTTGAGGAGTGAGCCAATGGATGGATGACCTCTCTCTCCACCTTCTATCTCTATAACTCTGCCTTTCAAATAAATAAATAAATCTTAAAAAGAAAAAAAAAAAAACCTCTTTGCGGGGCCAGCTCTGTGATCTAGCAGGTTAACGCCTTGGCCTGAAGCACCGGCATTCCATATGGGTGCCAGTTCAAGTCCTGGCTGCTCCTCTTCCAATCCAGCTCTCTGCTATGGCCTGGGAAAGCAGTAGAAGGTGAACCAAGTCCTTGGGCCCCTGAAGCCATGTGGGAGACCTGGAGGAAGCTCCTGGCTCCTGGCTTCGGATCAGCACAGCTCCAGCCATTGCGGCCATCTGGAGGGTGAACCAGCAAATGGAAGACACCTCTCTCTCTCTCTCTCTCTCTCTCTCTCCCCTTCTCTCTGTAACTCTGTCTTTCAAATAAATAAAATAAATCTTTTTTAAAAAAACCTCTTTGCTACCAAAGAGGATGAAATTAGGAACTTTTAATCAATTTGAGACTTCCAAAAATATAATGGAAGCCAGCACAGTGGTTAGGATGCCACATGGGACACCCACATCCTATAACATGTGCTCCTGATTCAGTTTCCTGCTAATGCCCACCCCGTGGGAGACCTGAATTGAGATCCAGGCTTCTGGTTCCAGCCTGGCCAAGCAGCAGCTCTTGGGGGCATTTGGGGAGTGACCCAGCAAATGGAAGATTTCTTTTCGTCTCTGTTTCTCTCTGCCTATTTCAAAGAAAAGACTGAGTTTGTAAAAACGATCAAGTGCCTGTGTCACACACGTGTGACCATCTCTGCAGGACAGGCTCCTGAAGCTGAACTGCATCTCTGAATGTGAACAAATGCGACCGAATGGCTTCACGTGCCCCTGAGCGCCCGCTGCCGCCCACCTTTGGCCATACTGAAGATTACCATGCTTTTAAGTCTTTTCCAGTTAGTAGGTTAAGGGATATTTCATCTTCTGTGAGTTGCTGATTCATACCTTTCGCTCATTTTTCTTTTGGGTTATTTTTCTTACTGATTTTTCTAGGAATCTTTATATATATTCTGGATACAAATCTTTATTATATACTGCAAATATTGTACTCAAGTATGTGGTTTGTTTTTAAATTTTGTCTCATGATAGCACAGTCCCTTTATGTTCTTATTCTAGGGACTGGTGTTGTGGCACAGCAGGTTGGGTCACTGCTTATACTGGTGGGTCAGAGAGCCAGTTCAAATCCCGGTTGCTCCACTTCCAATCCAGCTTCCTGCTAATGTGGCTGGGAAAGCAGTGGAAGATGGCCCAAGTGCTTGGATCCCTGGATCCTGGCTTCAGCCTGGCTCAGTCCTTGGCTGTTCCAGCCACTTGGGAAGTGAATCAGCAGATGAAAGATTCTCTCTGTCTTTTCCCTCTCTCTGTCGCTCTGCCTTTCAAATCAAATAAGTAAACCTTTGAAAAAAAATACTTCTCTTAAAATATTAATCCTTGCCTTTATGGTTTTGGGGACTCTCACCCTGCTTACGAAGCCTCACTCACTGCCTGGCTTTTAAAGCGCTCTCCGCTCTCCTCTAATACGTTGCAGCTCATTTTTCCCCTTTCATGCGCTCATCATTAATCCATCTGGAAGCAATTTCATCATGGCGTGAGGCACTGACAGTTGACCTTTGCAAGCCAGGAGCGGAGGTATGGCAGAGTGCCGGCAACGGACCGGAGCCCAGGGAGGAGCGGCCCACTCGTCCCCACAGCACTGCAGGCTGCGCGGATGCGCGGAGCTGGGCCAGTCCCCAGGCAGACAGAGCCCTGAGGCCAGCTGGCTCCGGAGGGGCGGTGAGCTGTGCTTCAGAATCCCGAATCCACTGGAGCCGCCCTGGGCTTGTGCCCGGCTGCTGGGCACGGCAGACGGCATCTGGAATGCGTGAAAGTGTTTGCCGGGAACCTCCGTGCCCTCCACCCCACTTGACGTCAACATGGGGGATGCAGGGAGACAAGGACTTATGGTCCCCATTTCCACACGAGTTAGGCGACACGCCGGAGGTCAACAATCCTGGCAAGTGGCAGAAGCCAGACCACTTGCCATGGAATCCACCGACCTCTCTCTGTCCTCAGTGTCACGACGGCTGCCCCCCAGGGTGGAAGGGAGGCTCCCCCTAGCCTTGTGCCAACCTGCGGCCCCCACCTGCCAGCCAGAGTCGGGAACAGAGGCTTCCTTCCACGCACACCTCCCCTCCCCCTGCACTCTCTGGCGCAGGGTGGGAGTGGGGATGAGTCAGGGCGGGGAGGGGGAACTCAGGCATAAACAAGTGGGACTGACAGCGAGCACTTTCCCCGAGGCTCGTGACCTCCCACGGGCCTCCAGGGACTCTGCCTGAACGGCTGCAGCTTAAAAATTTCATGATCCAGCCTTCGCACATTTAATCTGCTCCGTTCACGTAAGCAACTGTAGAGGGGGGAGACCCTGAGACAGGAGGTGGGGGCGAGGGGGCAGGCTCTCCCCGAGAGCAGTGCCTTTTCCAACAAGCCACTCCTGCAGCCAACCAACGAGCCCAAGGCTGGGTCTTCTCCCAGCCTCATAGGAAAGGACGCCCAGGACGCAGAACCACAGCGCGTGCCAATCCCTCGCGGCCTGGGACACTGCTGCAGGGGGCGTGCCCAAGCTCTGGCAAGAGGGCTCAGGTCGCCCGGGTCCCCTGGGTCACGCCTCGGGCAGACCCCAGAGCCACTTACCTGCTCCAGGGGGATGACGAGGAAGGAGCCGCCGCCCGCGCTCTCGGTGACGATGGCCAGGAAGCGGGCGTTGACGGCGCAGAAGTGGTTATCGTGCACGTTCTTGGTGATGGGGATGCCGTCGAAGCAGTGCTCGCGGTTGGCCACCTTCCCGTAGACGTTCCGGAACTTGGAGCTGCGGTACTGCGGACGCCAGGACATCTGTTGAGGGGCCAGAGAGCCTGGGTCAGCCTGGCCACCGGCTTGTGAGGGGCCCTGAGCTGGGCACAGGCGGCAGGGGTGCAGGAGGTGGCTGAGCCCCAGTGCCTGCCTCAGGCAGGAGGCTGCAGGATCCCCTCCCTCTTTGGGTGAGCTCCCACGAGGGCCAAGGCCTTCCGCCACTCCCTGCTTTTGGTCCACATCCTTCCAGAAAGGACAGAGCAAAGCAGCACTGCGCGACACTGCCTCCTGTGGTCCGACACGCTGCTGAATCCCACGTTCACGAAGATTGGGGTGGTGCCGATGGCGGGGCTTGGAAGGGTGAGGGTGGCCCTCTATGCACAAGGGGACAAGCCACGGCCCATTCCTCATCAGCCCCTCCTCAGGTACTCTCTGGAGTTTCCCATCCACAAGGCCATCCCCAGGAGTCCTGTAGGTCATCACCATTATGCACAGAGAAGTCAAGTGACTTGTCCAAGGCCACACAGCAGGGTAGGGCTATGAAGACAGACAGGTCTCCTAAGTGAAGATCTGAGGCTCCAACCCATGCCAGGTGCCCTACCCATGCATCACCCGGCCCCCCGGTGGCATTGTTCAGAAGCACTAAGTCCTGGGTCCCCGTTCAGACCTCGGGAGACGGGACCTCCAGTTACATCGGCAATTTTAGCCAGGGGCCCTGCCCACCTCCTGGCTCGGTTGGAACCACATTAAAATCGGAAGACGCCTGTTCTAGAGAACTGGGCAGGACCCCTCCCCCGGCCCTCTCTGCCCACCAAGGACAACACAGGCTCCAGCCGCCCAACTGAGCCCTTTCACTGCCTCCTCTGGCACCTGTCCAGGCTGGGCACAGCGGTGCACAGATGTGCAGGCGTTGGGTGGGTAGACACGGGACGGGCAGTGCTCCGTGGAGTCCCGCTCCGCCCAGGATGGCGCCTCCTGCAGGGAAGTCCTGAGCTGGGTCGCCCTGGCAGACGCACAGCACACGGCCCCAGGCCTGGCACCTGGCAGGGCGCATCCGCGCTTCCCGAAATGATTGAAATGATAGTGCTTCCGGCCCCACAGATGTTGCCCTGGCCTATCTCCAGGTGTGCCTGAGCCCCACCCCATCCCGGGACAGCATGGGGCAAGCTAGCTTCCTCCCTGAACTTTCCCCGGGGGAAGCGCAATCAGAAGCGAACGCTGCCACTCACTCAGGAAACCGACTCTGGGAAATTTCAATGAAAACAAAACTGCAACTGATTTAAGTGAAGCCAGGAGCTAAGCCACCAAAGACCTCCTTATCGAAGGAAGAGGCTCGGTATCTGACACGGAGAAGCCGCAGATGCTGTTCCCCCAGCTCCACGGCCCTCCTCCACCCCAAGGTCACCCTCACCCCAGCAGAGCCATCTCCCCACCTCCCCGCCTCTACCCACACCGTATCTCTCTGCCGCTTGCCTTCTCTGCTGAGCCCTGCCCAAGGCCTTCCGGACAAAGTCCCGCAGGACAGGCAAGAGCACCGATGGGAGCCTGGCGGGTCACTGTGGACTCCCCCAAGCGGAGCCCAGGTGGTCACTCGAGATCCCTTCACTGGATATAGAGGTGACAACTTTTAATTCAAGTCGTCGCATGTTTATTTTAATTTGGGTTTGAAAAAAATGCACCTTGCACATGAGGTGGAGAACTTCACAGGCACCATTGCTAGGAGAAAGGGGAACAAAGCAGTGGGAAGAACACAGTATTAAAACCACAGCAAGATGGTGCCGCGGCTCACTAGGCTAATCCTCTGCCTTGCGGCGCCGGCACTCCGGGTTCTAGTCCCGGTCGGGGCGCCGGATTCTGTCCCGGTTGCCCCTCTTCCAGGCCAGCCCTCTGCTGTGGCCAGGGAGTGCAGTGGAGGATGGCCCAAGTGCTTGGGCCCTGCACCCCATGGGAGACCAGGAGAAGCACCTGGCTCCTGCCATCGGATCAGCGGCCATTGGAGGGTGAACCAACGGCAAAGGAAGACCTTTCTCTCAGTCTCTCTCTCTCACTGTCCACTCTGCCTGTCAAAACAAACAAACAAAAAAACAAAAACAAAAAAACAAACAAAAAAACCCACAGTGTGGGTGGTTTGAGGACCTGGTAGAATTCTAGAATTCTGTCTGAGCTGGGAAGGATGTGCCCCTTCCAGGTAGAACATTCCAGATTCCGCGGTTCCCACAGAAGATGGACAGGGACAGTTCTGTCCCCCCAGAATAGACACAGGCCAAGGCTGCTGAACAGGGGCCGCGTGTTCTGTCTCCGGCATGAGCACAGCCAGGGGCTGGGGCCCGGGGATGCCAGCATGAGCCTGGGTATAGAGCGAGTGGCCTGGCACTTAGGGCCTGAGTCTCCCAGGGCAGATGGCCCTGCAGGGTCTCCTGGGGACTGTGAGGGGAGGGTCACAAGCATTGGACTGGGCGCCTCATAGACCTACATCCAAGTCCCACCTCTGCTGCCAATGAGCTGTGTGACTTGGGCAAGCCTCACCACCTCTCTGTGCCACCTGCACCGCACCTAGACAAAAGAGTTAATAACAACCCTGCCCCCACCCCAGGACTTGGGGGAATGAATGCTAAGCTGCCCAGGGCAAGCCGACCTGACCGAGCCTTCTGCACACCCGCCACATTCACCCCAGGTACCCCAGTCCCTGCCTGTCTCCCACTGATGTCACCCCTCCTCTTCTACCCTCCCCTGCCTCTCCTGCCCCACTCTTTCCTGTCTGCCCCCCACCCGGTCTACAGAGCGTGCACTGGGCATTTGTGGTGCAGGCTCCGTGTGAGCACCACTGCCTCCCCGGATGCTTCTGCCATCAACCCCCACCCCAGCCCAGCTGGCACTGCTGGGAGCCCACAGCTCTCTGGGTGACGTGTCAACCCCCCCGCCGCGGGGATGGGCTGGGACAGATCTGTTTCCTGGGGACACTGGAGCACGTTCTGCACAGGGCTGGCTGGCTGCAGGCCTGGCCTGGGTCTCGAGGGAGATTCTCTCTGCTGGGCCTTTGGAAGTGCAAGGGAGGGAGGCCGGAGGTCCTTGCTTATGAGTGGGTCACATTGTGGGGTCTGCACACGGGCCCACAGCGAGCGTTCATGGCCTGGCCGCAATACGGGGAGCCTGCGGTCCTGGGCTCTGCTCCCCAAGCCTGGGACGGGCCCGTCACCTCCCTCGGTGGCCCAGGGCCCTCCTGTCCCCCCCTCTCCTTCTCAGCCATTCTTCTCCCTCTCTCTCTTTCTTCTTCGGCAGCATTACTGGGGACAACCTTGCAAAACTCGTGACTTCTGCCTCCTGGTTCCTTCAGCACGCGTTTCCCAGCCAGCCAGCGCCTCCTGCCCCAGCACTTTGCCATCGCCACGGCCAGGAACACGGACAGCAGCTCCTCACGGCCCCCGGATATCCAGCCCGCATGCACGTTCCCCCAAAGTGTCTTTCACACCCACTCTACGTTTTCAACGAAAGGTCCACACACTGCGTGCGGCTGTGACCTCGCTCTCGCATCCCTGCGCCTGCAACACGCAGCACGGCCCGGCATCCTGTCTGCTGTCGGCTCGTGGCATCCTCAGTCATTCCTGTGTGCCCTGGAAACATGGGCTTTAGGTCTTTAGCCCTGATTGAATTCAAGCTGAAATGCCTCCTCCCGCAGTCTCTTGGTCTGGTGGGGGGTGAGGGGTGGGAAGGAGAGGGGAGGGCAGAGGGAACACGTGAGCAGGCACCTGGGCTGGCTGGTGGCGGCGACAGGCCAGGTGGCCAAGGCTCTGTTCTGGGTGGGATCTGGGTGGGGGCAGGAGGCTGGAGGGTCTGAGAGGCCAGAGCAGATGCCCCCCCCCCCACGCACACTACAGGCCACGGGGCTCTGACCTTCCCACCCTGCACCACTAAAGGGGGGGACGCCATCCTGAGGTCCCGTGCAGCTGGGGCAGGCAGGGAACAGAAGTCTCCTTCTCCCCAGGCTGCTGGCTGCGTGTGGAGAAGTCACTCAGGACATTAAAGAGAAACCAGTGTGTGTGTTGGGGGGGGCAAGAGGTGACCTGCGAGTCTGACCTTTTGCCCTTTGCCCTGTCACAGCAGTCCTGTTAGGAGGGGGACTCGGAGGGGACGAGGGTCCCCAGCCAGGGTGGCAGGACCGGGCCCAGAGGGCCTCTGTGCCTTCAGTGGTGTGGAGGAACTCAATTCTCCTGGGACAGGGTGGCCATCTGCGTCCATCCATTGTTCCACGTCGCCCTGGGCCAGAGGTCGCCCGCCTCATCCTTGAACCCCCTGCAGGGACGAGAAGCTCACGACCTATCAAGGCAGCCTTCTTTTCCGCCTCGGCCATCCCTCACCAGTAAAAGGCAGCGCTGTCCGGGGTGGGTGCTGTGGAGCAGTGGCTTAAGCCGCCGCTTGGAACACCCACATCCCATGTCAGAGTGCCTGGGTTCAAATCCTGCCTCTGCTTCCGGTCCAGCTTCCTACTAATGCATTCTGGGAGGCAGCAGGTGATGGCTCAGGTACTGCATGGAAGACTCTCTTTCCATAAGAATAAATGAATCCATAAGAATAAATGAATTAACTTCAAAAACAGACAGTTCTGCTTTGTAAGGAGCTCCAAGGTGTCCCAGTCGTCGTGTGTCTCTTGGTCCAGTCTTCTCCAGGGCCAGCGGGGGGAATCCCGGCGGCGCCCACCCACAGCCACAACCCCTGCAGCCTCCCCGCCCCCTCAGTCAGCCATGCAGCTGTCCAGCTGGCAGCGCCGGGCCGATACTGCAACCCCACTTCCGAGATACGGGCTCAGAGGCGTGCAAGGGGTGGGGGCCGGATTTTGGCCAAGAACTTGTGACTTCACCTCCTGGTCTTTCCAGAGCGTACAGTGAATCTTGTCCTCTCTCAGCCTCTGCACCCAAACGCTCACCTCTGCCTGCTTGTTCCAGTAACACACAGCACTCCACGAGATTACAAAAACCAACAGTCGGCTGCTCGGCTGCTCACTGGCAGCCCCTCCCGGGGCTCGGGCCGCCCTGGTCTCCCTCTGA